TCCTACCATGCTCCTCTTTCTGGATTTTTTTTTTTTTTGGTTTATCAATGATATTCAGTAGAATAATATTCCTAGCATAAATCTCTGCTCAATGAGTAAAGCAGGATTAATCTGAGAGTGCAAGAAGGCATGTGCGAAGAATGGGAAGGTACTTGGGAATTTGTTTGCCTTCTAACTATTCATGTAAATTGTGCTCATATGAGTTACTAAGGAGGAGAAGTTACATACTGTAAAAAGTTTTTTTCACCTGTAGTCTCTGAAATTTATATTTTCTCAAATTCTCACCACAAACCCCAAAGCTCAGCTTTTCTATAAATGAAGTTGAGAGCACTGACTACATGATCATTAGAGCATTCCAGGTAAATTAAAAATAGTAAATGAAAGGACATTTCCTGCCTCAGCAGTGCTTCAGTACAATACTACAATATGTTGTTGTTCTTGCAAATAAAGATTTGCATAAAAGTTATACTTAAGACAAACATGGAGTACTGTTTTTTATTAATGTCTGTGTGTATTCTTTTCTTCCATACTTATGGCTCTGGTCTTAGTTTTTGGTAGGATGTTTCAGAGAAGTTTTCAACAGTCTCTTGGGTTAACAGTGCTTTGGTTTCATTGCTTTTGGTTATTTTAAACCATGAGGTGTAATCATCTGTGCCTCTTCAGGCATGGTGCGTGGAAGGATTTTTCTTCAAATTTGTCTACGTCCATTATGCTCAGAAGAGGCCAAGAATCTGATTAACATCCCTCTTATGCTGGCATTTAACTTCACCTGAATATATAATCTCTGTCCTCAACTAAGTATTATCTTGAAGTACGAAAACAATCTTATGCAGCTGAACTTTCTCTAACAACTGTTGGCCTTTTCTTGCTTCTGTCATTCTCTTGGTCATTTTCAAATCTGAGGGGTGTAGAATTTCACGGAATAATTAAACCTCCACCTATTTATGAAAGCTAGCAAGTGGAAAGGGAGAAATGAAAATTACTGCCCATATTCGTCCAGTTCTTAGTAACTCTAGTGTGCATATAGAGCCTAAATAGTTTCTGTCTTTCAGGAAAGAAACTGGACTTTGTAAGTTGCTTGGAACAGAACATTACTTTTCTAGTGCCTCTGTATCTGTATACTCTTATTACTTACCTTCATTATACTCTCCTTTTGTGTGCAGGTGCTTCATTTTTCAGTAAAGAAGGAGGTATTTACATTATATTATAGTCTAACTATTACTTACAGAACTTACTTCTTAATGAAAGCTTACTGCTAACTATAAAAAAGTAAAGAATGACAGAATTACAGAACTGCAGGGTCTAGATAGGACCTATGGAGACCATCAAGATCAACTCCCTTGCTAAAAGAGGTTCCATACAGCAGGTCACACAAGAAAGTGTCCTGGTGGGTCTTGAATAACTCCAGAAAAGACTCGCCAACCTCTCTGAGCAGCCTGTTCCAATGCTCTGTCACTCACAGTAAAGAAGTTGTTCCTCATGTTTGAATAAAACTTTCTGTGTTCCAGTTTTTGCCTATTGCCCCTTGCTCAATCACTACACACCACTGAAAAGAGCCTGGCCCCATCCACTTGACTCCTACATTTCAGATACTTATAAACAGTTTTGAAATCCCCTCTCAACCTTTCTTCAACAGATTGAAGAGTCCCAGGTCTCCCAGCCTTTTCTTGGTGGGAAGTGCTTCAGGCCCCTGATTATCCTTGCCACCCTCTGCTGGACTCTTTCTAGGAGATCCCTGTCCTTTTTGAATGAGGGAGCCCAGAACTGGACAGAGTACTCCAAATGTGGCCTCCCAAGGCAGAGCAGAGGAGAAGGATTGCCTCCCTCAACCTGATGGCTACGCTCTTTTTAATGCACCCAAGAATACCACTGGCCCTCTTGGCCACCAGGAAACATTACTGCTCATGGCCAACCTGTTATCCACTAGGATGCCTAGATCCTTTTCAGAGCTCTTTTCCAGCAGGTTACCCTTTAACCTCTACTGATGTACAAGGTTATTTCTTCCCAGGTGCAGGTGCCTTCACTTGGCTTTTGTTGAAACTCATCAAGTTTCTTTCTTGCCCAACTCTCTCCGGTCTGTCCACATCTCATTGAATGGCAGCACAGCCTTCCAGTGTTAGCTTCTCCTCCCAGCTTCATTTAGTTCTTTGGCAAACTTGCCACATTTTCATTTGTGTAGCTAGACAGAGTTGATGTCATTAACCCAACATTTGATAGCTGAAATAGAAGAAATGTATAATCAAAATCCAAATAGTAGGATTGATTGATTAGTGGTCGGATATAGCCTGGAAGGTTCTTTAATCCTGAATAGATGCTGAATTATCCACCCTGTTTGCCTCTTAAAACTGCACATGTAGGGAGGCTAGGGGTAAAATATGTTTTCTTCCTAATGATAGTGGAAAGAAGTAACTTAACCATCTCCTGTGTTTTGTTTTCATAGCCAAAAAGTATATGAAATCCAGCAGCATTTTTCTTTAGAAAGCTTTAAATTGACTAACCAGGCAAATATACTGCAGTTTAATCTCCTATTATGATGTTGTTAGTAAGCTGTCCATCAAAGACTGAGCTCTATCCTATAAACCTAATATAAGACATTATCTCAAAGAACAAATGATTTAAAGTAAAATAAAAACAAATATAAAAAAGTAATATATGGTATCATGACTATAGTTTAATATGGTAAGACCAAAAAAAAAAAAAAAAGAGGCAACAGTCCTACTTACTCATCTAGGCCTGAAATAGTTTTTGTTTTTTTTCTTTACAGATTAATCTTTTTAGTATTAGTTGACCAAGTTAGCTAATTTTTTTTAATGGAGTGTCTATGTACTCAAAATGTATAGTTTCCTTCTTAATGCAGCTTCAATGTATTTATTTCTCTGGATTATTTTTGTCTGCCTTCTTAGAGATGTATCTTTTACTTCTTTTTTTTTTTTTTTTAGTTTCTGACAATTTATGAATAAAAAATAAATTATTTACTTGTGAAGGAGAAAAGGAGATCATTGTAATATATACTTTCTGTAATTATGTCTAGAACTTCATAAAAATCATCAGTTTGGGACTGAATTGCTACAAAGGTACTAGGAAATGCTGATCCTTAAATTCATAATCTTTACTCTTACTGCATGCTAACAGTAATTATTTTTAAGTTTTCAGAGGTACGTGATCAAAAACAATTGCTGAATATTCATTTCTAGCTTTCTTAATTAATGTAAATTATATAGATGGATGTAAGATTGCCATCTTAATGGATCAACCCTGAAATGTTTTGATGGATTTCTAGAGGGAAGATTCTGGGTTCTGAGATGAAAGCCCTGAATATCACTGTCAGTTGGTTGCACTTTTGCCATCCTGTTTGGTACTATATTTACACATAATGACAGTAGTTATGTTGTGTTCCCTTTTGGAGACAAGTGGTATGATACGTCTTGATTTTAGGACCAACTTATGTAGATCTTTTCCTCTTACATTCACAAGATGTTTCCTCAGTATGGTTTTGTTTCCGACTGTGGAAAATATGCATTTCCTGCAATTGATTTTTTTTTTTTTTTGTCAAACAGCATGCAATTATTTAAACATAAGGAGTGTAGCTTGAGAGAATGCTTAAGAGGTTTTTAATTATGCTTAGAGCACATATGATGGGAAAAAATAAATGGAATTTGAATCTAGAAATCATATGTGTTGTAAGCTAGTTTTTTTCTCTGTTAAAAAAGTGAATATCTGAACTGAGAAGGGGATGGAGGCAGGAAGGGAAATAAATATCACAGGAAGTCAGAATTAATAGGCTTCCCTACTGTAACTTATGCAGTAGCTTTTTTCCTGCCAAAGCACACGTCCTTACAGAAACTGATGTTTGATTCTTGGTGACAAAATTGGCACGTTCACTGGAAATGTGGAGGTAAATGCGTTCTCTGGCTGCTTTGGGACTGCTTTATGCTGCTTAGAAAATAGCTTTGATTTTAAAAGTTTTGTCTGTTCTCTCAGCAGGAATAAATACTGAAGAACTTGTTAGGGAGGAGAAGGAATTATTATAGTACAGCATATGTATTATGAAAGAGTCTGTATCGTATGTGAGTCAGTAATGACTGAAGCATATGTTTTCATCTATGAATAGTGAGAAGTGTTTATCTGGAGAACTGTTAGTTCAATCTTTTTTGAACTTTTACTTAAAATCACTTTTGCAGTCCAAATGTGGAATTTAGCTAGGCTTATTATGTGCATGAGACTTAAGACTTGAAGGCACAGGCTGAAAAGATGTTCATTATTAAGTGAACATTTCATAAGGAAAAGGCCAGCGTTCTGCCTTACTTAAGCTAAGCTATGACTTGGATTTTTCTTTAGTTTCTCAATTCTTAATAAATCACTACTTTGTAGCACTGGCAGATAGATCATTTAGCAATTTCCTGAAAACAGAAAATATTTCTCTTATCTATGTGCTTTGCATTCAGAATTGCCTCATTACTGAAAGTGGAATGTGGCCTGGTGTGAAGGAAAAAAGATGCATCTGCTTTTGACTTGATTTCTTAGTTGTCTGGTACTGGAGTATTGTCTGTTTTCTGTCACTGTGTACTTAAAATTCTGTCCTCTGAGAATGTTTCTGTTGCCTTCAGAGTGTGTTGCAGCTGAGTGAGCGAAATTGTAAATTTTTGTTCTTTGCTGTTGCCAAAAGGATTTTTTAATAGCATCGATGAAAATGGAGCACTTACTGTTATTCACTAGTCAGTAGATGCTTTAGTATCCGAAACCTTAAGAAGTCAAGTCTTGATTATTTTTGTAATAATGTATCTTGAAATTATGTGGGTAGATATAAATATGCAACATCTGTGTAATTGTGCTTATTAATGAACAGATAGTAACCTAATTTCAGAACAGTTTGATTTAGATAAGCACACTTAGTAGCATTTATTACCCTTATAGATGATTGCTTTTAGTCTTTTAATGAGTCTTAACATTTCTAATTTACTGATTTGCTTATTTATTTGTATTCTGGTTTTCTCTTACAGGAAGGAACTTGAGACCTTCAAAGGTAAATTCTGTTAGGTTTTTTTTTCATGTTTTACCTGAGTATTTACAAGAGTTACTGTAATTTTTATATCAAATGAGACCACAGAACTGTTCCACTTCTGCATTTGATAATCTGAATTTTATGTCAGACTCTTTTTATTCAGTTTACCTGTTCTTGCTCCTGGTTTTGCTGGGGGAGCCATAATTATAGAAGAGCACAGAGGATATTGTTGTTTTAGGTATATTTCAGAGATTCTGTATCTGATTCAGGTCTCTCCCTTGGTGTTAAGTTGTAAATACTTAGTCTTCTGCTAGTTAATGTCTTTTCTAGAATGAATATATTTTTGATGTGTTGTTGGCAATTAATTGTTGTGCTTTTGTCTAGCTATTTCTAGGAAATTTTCACAGTATTATAACATTAGGTGAGCTACATTTCCTGTAGCTCAACTGTTTGGATATAAATTATTATACATACACGTATCCATCCCAAACAATATGGAGTGGCTAGGAACTCTGTGGTGTTTTATTGCTTTGTCACTGTGGTGTGTAGGTAGAACACTACCATTTTCAGTTAATCTTAAATTCAGGCTTACTCTACCTACTAATGTAGGTAGAGTTTGATCAGCTTGAGAATTGTTATGATCTTTTGTTTTGAATAAGGTATGACTGTGGCTTTGTGACTAGTCCTTATTTATGAATACCAAGTCAAGTACTTAGACTTACACCAATTAACTGTCTCTTCAGATTGAAAGTAGGGCTGGGAATTTCAATCAACTGCATTCTCCGTTGACTTTTCAGTTCATTACTATCTCATCCTTACATAATGCTGAAAAAGGAAAATAATAAAGCTAACGTTAGTGGACAAGCTACACAGATTATGTAAAATGTCACTTTATCTGTAGCTTACCATAACAACTCTTTTTTTCATTGATGTGACAGCTTTCAATGCAGACTAGCTCAATATAAAACCAAAGATAAAGCCAAGCTTATTCTATCCCATGGCAATGCAGCTACTTTGTATTACCTGATAGTCATGAGGGTGGTGAATCTAATTTTTGTTTGCTTTAATTAGGGGAGTTAAGTAAGTCAGGAGAATGGTTTCCAAAATTAGTTCTCTCTTGGATTCTCTTTTTTTTTTCCCCACAGAGGTGGTAACTTTTTGGAACAGTAGATGCTAATGTACTTCACAAGCACAAATATTTTCATGCAAGTGAAAGGTGCTGGCTATATGCTTACCCTTAAATTTATGTCAACCTGCATAACTGGCTTTGTAATGGACAGAAATGCATACAGTTTTCCAGTAGTAGTTATGAAGGCTTATAGTAAGCAAGAGAAGTTTTTTTTACTTTACAGCAATTGTAAACAGATGGCAGGAAAGAATCCAAAGTATTTTTTTGCTTTTTCACTGAAAAGTTCAACTGTAGTCAGTGGTTGTTACAATCCATATCAATGACTAAGGAGTAGGATCTCATACTGTACCAAGGAAAGACAAGTTAGAGGTTTCTCAATGCCTGTGGGGTGTTTCCAAACCAACTGATCAAATTTATTATCATCTGTCAGAAATTATGGAAGGCTGAAAGAGCACAAATTAGATCTTTAAAAATAGAATGCATCAGCCTAAATGTTATTATTTTTTTTTACAAATTGGACTAGTGGATAAGCTTGTAGTCAGTAGGAAAAGAGGGAAGTAGTAACTAATAAAATTTATTTGACATGACAAAATGGTCATGTCAAGCGAGTTTAAATTCTTTTTATAAGATGACAGCAGCATAGTTTAAAATGAACAATATGTACCTTATTTTAGCTCTGGGAACAGCTTGTACTGTCTTGCCTGATGTTATCCCAGGGAGTAGAGTTTAAACCTACTGGAGAATGTGTACGTGGCTGGTTGGAAATGCATACTTGGAGAGTAGATTTCTGTATTTTCTTAAATTGTCTTCATTCTCAGCTCTGATTGATGCTGCTTAGAATTCTTGCTGTTAACATGGATGATAAAACGTAGATGCTTACCAGACTGACTTTAGTCATTTTTTTTCTGGCCTTTTGGAACTTCAACCAATTTCTGAGTACCATAGTATGCATTTCATCACCTGGTAAGGAACAGAGTGAGTTTCCTCACTCCTCATAGAGTGACAAGTGTTTCAGTTCTACAGCAGCTTTGTATGGTCCTAACTGGTTGTTCCTTCATGCATATTTCTGTTTTAAGCTACTTCCCGAGCTTGTGCAGAACATGATCTGCTGTTTGGTTTAGCTTTGGTTGATGCAGTGTGCTGAAATATCTCAGTTGATGGCTGGAGGAAAAGAATGTTGGCACAGGATGAAGAAAGGCTGGGGAGCGTGTCAAAGTTACCAGTGCAATGCAGTCACCTGAAAAGCAAATACTTCTGCTGGTACAGTGCCTAACAGATTTTAAGGTTGAGATGAAAAAGGATTAGTGCTGTTGTGCAAAGCACTGATAAGACTTTATCTGAAATAGTGCATATAGCTTTTGTATGCTGTATACAAAATAGGTTAACTAGAAGTAGTTGGGTAGATTATTCTTTATATTTTATGTTCCAAGTATAGACTACAGCCTCAACTGATTTATCCTTGCGTAACTACCCAGACTGAAATGTGTTCATAAAAATGACCAGCACTGGGTATGCAGAAAAGAAGAACTGCCTAAAGTAAGAGCACTACTGTTTGGAGACAGAGGAGAAGGCAGTACTTTCTACAAACTGTGTACAAGGACATTTAAGCTGAGTATTAGAAGGCTTTCTAATTATCAGAACCCAGGACTTCTAGAGTTGATACCCACTATGTGCCATGGTTTTGTCTTCTAACTGATTTTAACCTGGAGCTTAAGAGGTTTATGAGGAAGATAATTTCAAGTGAAGTGCTTTCATTACGAAGGGAGTGGGCTCCGGATTTCTTCCAGGCCGGTGCTGAAAAGATGTCCAGTTGGAAGCTGATGTTGTTAAGTAGCACATAATAATACATTAAGAAATTAGGAATGATTTCACAGAATCATAGAATGGCCTGGGTTGAAAAGGACAACAACAATCATCTAGTTTCAACCCCCTGCTACGTGCAGGGTCGCCAACCAGCAGACCAGGCTGCCCAGAGCCACATCCAGCCTGGCCTTGAATGCATACAGGATGGGGCATCCACAGCCTCCTTGGGCAACCTGTTCCAGTGCCTCACCACCCTCTGTGTGAAAAACATCCTCCTAATATCCATCCTAAACCTCCCCTGTCTCAGTTTAAAACCATTCCCTCTTGTCATATCACTATCACCCTCGTAAACAGCCATTCCCCCTCCTGTTTATATTCTCCCTTCAAGTATTGAAAGACCACAATGAGGTCTCCCCAGAGTCTTCTCTTGTCCAAGCTAAACAAGCCCAGTTCCCTCAACCTTTCTTCATAGGAGAGGTGCTCCAGCCCTCTGATCATCATCATGATTTTTATATTTGGCGACAAATATACTATTTTAGAATTTGTTTCTATATTTGTTTTTATTTGTGTAACAGACTGTACTCTTAAACATCCTGAGAAGTGGATTTTATTATGCTTTTCTTCCTTTTGCTTTAAGACTATTTACAGGGCCAGACATTCTCCTTTGTTGTTGGCTGTACCTGTGGAGTAGAGTATCAGGGCAAACCCTCCAGTCTCTTTTATTTCGGCCTCAGGGGTTTCTATTAAAATGTAAGCATAATACATTATTTATTATCTATGACAGTGAGAAAGTGAAGGTTAGAGACTTTCCTGCTTCTTATATGAAGCATCTTTGAAAAAGGCAGGGAGTGGCTGGTGTCTCCATTGTTACTGCTGCAGCACTGGCACTGGTGTATCCAAAGCATGGATATGCACTGTAACAAAACATCTCAAAGCCTATCCTGTTTCTTTTTGTAATAAGTTATCTTACATAAGAGCTTTCCTGTCAGAGATGATGGATTTGTGGGTATGACATTTGAAGTAGCCTGCAAGTTTCTTCCTAGTTCTCATCCATTTCAGTGTGTGCAGAACCACTTTCAGGAGCTGGATTATGCCCTGTGCTGCCCTGTTCTGGGTGCTTAAAAAAGTGCTCTGCTGTGGATCTTGGCAATTTCCTACAAGATTAAACTTTATTGTAGGCAATATTTGTGTATGTAATTGTTTTTAATATTTGATGCCTTTTACTTTTTGATTTCAGAAAGGAGTATATAATTTTCAATTTTACAGTTGAGAAATTAGAAGTTAAATAGCAAATGCATTGTTATTTTTCTTTATTCTTAGAATTGACTGCAGTCATATAACTGCACTGAGATTTGAAATCTTTGCGCTGTATTTTCAGAGACATGATACTATTTATTTATTTGTTTTGGTGTTGTTTTTTCTTTTTTAAAGTGAACACTGTTTCTGTCCCAGTGCATCCAGGACTGTGCAGTAGATGTTCAGAGAATACTGTAAATCTCTTTTAGTGAAGCAGAGCAATGAGGTAGATAATGGAGGGGGGTGGGGGGGGAGTAGAGAAGATTAAAGCAGTAAAAGCAGTACATTGCACAATGGTAATAATTTACATTGCTGAGTTTAATTCAGGCTTCCTCCAAGTGGGAACTCTACATGTGACAGGTTTTAAAATAACTTGCAGAAGTCCCATTTATTAAATAAAAATAAGCAAGGGGTTTAGGGTGAAATGTTTTCAGTTATGTTTCTGGAAAGAAAAGTAAGCAATTTAGGCTATTTAAAATCAGCAACTCATCACTTTTTGACAATGAAAGGTGTCAGAAACTTTGTAAGGGCAGATATGCATGTGGCTTTAGCTACTGAGTCATGTGTATTTATAAGCTTTAACAGGATTAGTTTCATTCAAGCTCATGGAAGCTGGTCATACAATCGTTTCCAGCACTTCTGTTTACAGTACAACAGAATATATTTCCAGCTCTTTGCATCAGAGATCCCTCTCAAACAAGTCCTGATAATTTTTAAAAGCTTTGTCAAAATACTTTTTCTGAAAAAGAGAATGATAAAGAGACAAGGTGTGTTTTTCTTGTTTGTTTTCCTT